CGGGAAATTTAAATTAAAGTGAGCGTTTCTAAAATAAAATATGACATTACACCTCTGCAGCAGTTGTTATTCAAGAATTGTTAAAAACATCATTTTGTTCTCATGCTGCTGTTGGGCCTGAATAGCTCAGTTAGTACAGCATCAGCCTTTTAATCTGAGGGTCCAGGGTTACAAATCCATGTGTGGATGTAGCTTTTAAATTGCGCCAGCCTTGAGCAGACGATATCAAGCACAAGCATACAATACAAAAGCCCTGCAGGTTGGGTGGTAGAGTGGCTCAGTGGTTTGCACTGCTGCCACAAGGTGCCAGGGACCCAGGTTCAATTCCAGCCTCAGGCAACTGTCTGTGTAGAGTTCACACATTCTCCCTGTGTCTGCATGAGCTTCTGCCCACAGGCCAAATGTGGAGAAAGTCAGAAGTCACACAACACCAGGTTATAGTCCAACAGGTTTATTTGAAATTGCAAGCTTTCAGTGGGCTTCCCTCCACTTCATCTGACAAAGGAGCCAGTGCTCTGAAAGCTTGTGATTTCAAATAAACCTGTTGGGCTATAACCTGGTGTTATATGTCTTCTAACAAATATGAGCAGGCTAGGTGGATTAGCCATGGGAAATGTAGAGTTATGGGGATAGGGTAGGGGGGTGGGGTGCTCTTCGGAGGGTTGGTGTGGGCTTGATGGGCCGAATATCCTGCTTCCACACTGTAGGGATTCGATGATGCTGTGAATCTCGCACATAGCAGCAAAAGTAGTTGGGTTTGAGTCAGTGATAAGATCGCACTCTGAGTAGGAAGGCTGTGGATTCGAATCCTGATCCATAAAGAAGAGATCAGTCCCTGACAGTGGGGCAGTTGAGAGCAATGAGAATAGAGAGGTAAACTCAATCGTGTTGTCCTTTTGATTTATAAAGGTCAGGATATGCCAGTGAGTGGTCAGCCCAGAGCTTAGCTTTCCATCCCACATTATTGCTCAGGTGAGTACCTTCTCAAGGCATTTCTGTGACCACAGAAAGCCTGATCTGCACTAATTCTGCAATAATATAAGAAAGGAGAAATTGACTATGTTTTTGCTTTTCAGGATCCCTCCTGTGCTGCTGCAGCCTGAACTTTAACTGATGCCAGATACATCAGCAAAAAAACTGCATCCTACAAATGTCCAAACCTGTTTCATATCAGGAGAATCCTCATTTCCAAAGAGGGTCAAACTCCAAACACTAGACTTTCAAACCCATTGGAGGAGCTCCCCCAACAATTGATACCAGCACACATTCTTCATTAAAGTTTTGATCACAAAACAATAATCAAGAAGGGTTTTTGGATATTTAACAATTATCTTTTATACCGTGTAATGTAAACTGTGGGATTTATATGTAGAAATTTTAATGTTATTTGTTGTGAATTTGTGTTCCTGGCTTTCAGGTTAGTAAAGGGTAGGTTTTCTGTTTGTCTGAAGTTGTTAATTAACTTATAAGCATTTCTGTAGCCATGGTGATTATCTTCCAAAGCAGTTTTTGAGAGCTGGCCTTAGTAAATATGCTCTATACCCTACTGATAGACTTCTGTTTATTTACATTTGTTAGAAAGCTCTGAAACTTGACACCCATAGCTGAAAGAGAGAGAAAGAATGTTAATTTCACTTTTGACCTTGAGTGGAGGAATCCTGTGTAAAGCCTTGGAATACTATGGCTGTTTAGAGCAATGCTGTTGAGAAAGGAAGGATATATAATGAACTGTGTTACCTTAGAGTGAAGAGTGAGTGTTAGTCCCAGGCCACTATTGTTGGGATAAAACCTGAATTTACTCAAAGCTGAGTGCATTAAGCATTTAAGGTGCATGATAGCTCCAGGAAGAAATTATATGCAGTTCCAGTCTAAAGGTTGAAGTTACAAGTGAGTTAAATATACCAAGACATTGGATGCAGGGATTCTGGTGTGAGTTTTATATCAATGGAGTTTGGGGTGTGATGCCAGAAGTGAGTTTTAGGGACTACACAAATTCTGTTTCACTTCCTTTCAATTTATAAAGAATTTTTTTTAGGCTTAATAGAATTACCATTTTACTTTATGTTTAGAAGCTTTGAATTTGTATTATAAGTAGATAGTTTGGAGTTTACTATTTTATCTTCATTTCTTTTCAAATTGACTTCTATTTATTATTAATGTGAAATCTGCAACATTGCACAATTACGTTTTAGCGAGAGATCATTTTGTCTGTCATAGAACAAAGAACATGGAACAGTACAGCACAGTACAGGCCCTTCAGCCCACGATGTTGTGCCGAACTTTTACCCTAAACCTAAGGTCTATCTAACCTCCACCCCTACCTTATACTATCATCTGTATGCCTATCTAACAGCCGCTTAAATGCCCCTAATGAGGCCAACTCCACTACCCTCTCCGGCAATGCATTCCACACCCCTACCACTCTCTGAGTAAAGAACCTACCTCTGATGTCTCCCCTATATCTACCTCCTCTCACTTTAAAACTATGCCCCCTCGTAATAGCTACCTCTACCCTAGGAAAAAGTCTCTGGCTGTCCACTCTATCTATACCCCTGATCATTTTGTACACTTCTATCAAGTCACCTCTCATCCTTCGTCGTTCTAAAGAGAAAAGCCCTCTCGACCTTTCCTCATAAGATCATCCCCCCATTCCAGGCAACATCCTGGTAAATCTCCTCTGCACCTTTTCCAATGCTTCCACATCTTTCCCGTAATGAGGCGATCAGAAAGGGACACAATACTCCAGATGTGGCCGAACCAGGCTTTTGTATAGCTGGATCATAACTTCACGGCTCTTGAACTCAATCCCTCTATTAATGAAAGCTAACACACCATACGCCTTCTTAACAACTCTATCCACCTGGGTGGCAGCTTTCAGGGAGCTGTGAACATGAACCCCAAGATCCCTCTGCTCCTCCACACTGCCAAGAATCTTTCCGTTAACCCTGTATTCTGCTTTCAAGTTTGTCCTTCCAAAATGAATCACCTCACACTTTTCAGGGTTAAACTCCATCTGCCACTTCTCAGCCCAGCTCTGCATCCTATCAATGCCCCTTTGTAATCTAGAACAGCCCTCTGCACTATCCACAACATGACCCACCTTCGTATCGTCCACGAACTTGCTAATCCACCCTTCCACTCCTACATCCAAATCATTTACAAAAATCACAAATAGAAGAGGACCCAGAACAGATCCTTGTGGTACACCACTCATAACTGAGCACCATGTTGAATATTTTCCGTCCACTACCACCCTTTGTCTTCTAAGGGTCAGCCAATTCTGAATCCAATCTGCCACATTTCCCCCTATCCCATGCCTCCTTACTTTCTGCTTGAGCCTACCATGGGGAACCTTATCAAACGCCTTACTTAAATCCATGTATACCACATCCACTGCTCTACCTTCATCCACGTGTTTGGTCATCTCTTCAAAGAATTCAATAAGGTTTGTGAGGCATGATCTACCCCTCACAAATCCATGCTGACTATTAACTCTGACTGTCATGACCTATAAAGTCAGGTTTCGGTCTGGGATCTGACTTTACCTGTAATAACATCAGCTGAGATCAAATCAGCACAAGATTTCGTTTGATACCATTTCTAGTCCATATCAACTGCCCCACTGTCATATTTAGGTTAATGCCATTGCCCCTCATGTTAAAGCATCTTAACTCTTTTCCTGGTCCTGGGAAGGTAAAGCAGGGATACTGTGAACATGCAGATAGGTGCTAACTGT